CCCAGGTGTTCCCAGGTGTGCTCAGGTGTCCCCAGGGGCCCCCAAGTGTGTCCCAGCTGTCCCCAGGTGTGTCTCAGGTGTATCCAGGTGTGTTCAGGTGTGCCCAGGTGTCCCCAGGTGTTGCCCAGGTGTTGCTCAGGTGTTGCTCAGGTGTGCCCAGCTGTCCCCAGGTGTATCTCAGGTATTCCCAGGTGTATCCCAGGTGTCCCCAGGTCTGTCTCAGGTGTGCCCAGGTGTATCTCAGGTATTCCCAGGTGTGCTCAGGTGTCCCCAGGTGTTGTCCAGGTGTCCCCAGGTGCTGTCCAGGTGTGCTCAGGTGTCCCCAGGTGTATCCCAGGTGTGCCCAGGTGTGCTCAGGTGTCCCCAGGTGTGTCCCAGCTGTCCCCAGGTGTTGTCCAGGTGTGCTCAGGTGTATCCAGGTGTGCTCAGGTGTGCTCAGCTGTAGCCCAGGTGTATCCAGGTGTCCCCAGGTGTGTCCAGGTGTCCCCAGGTGTATCTTAGGTGTGCCCAGGTGTGTCCCAGCTGTCCCCAGGTGTATCCAGGTGTGCTCAGGTGTATCCAGGTGTGTCCTAGGTGTATCCCCAGCTATCCCCAGGTGTGCTCAGGTGTAGCTCAGGTGTGCTCAGGTGTGTCTCAGGTATCCCCAGGTGTGCTCAGGTATAGCTCAGGTGTGCCCAGGTGTGTCTTAGGTGTATCCAGGTGTGCTCAGGTATCCCCAGGTGTACCCCAGGTGTGCTCAGGTGTATCCAGGTGCCCCCAGGTGTTGTCCAGGTGTGCTCAGGTGTCCCCAGGTGTGCTCAGGTGTCCCCAGGTGTCCCCAGGTGTATCCCAGGTGTCCCCAGGTGTTGTCCAGGTGTGCTCAGGTGTCCCCAGGTGTATCCCAGGTGTCCCCAGGCGTATCCAGGTGTGCTCAGGTGTATGCCAGGTGTGCTCAGGTGTATCCCAGGTGTCCCCAGGTGTGTCCAGGTGTCCCCAGGTGTATCCCAGGTGTCCCCAGGTGTTGTCCAGGTGTGCTCAGGTTTCCCCAGCTGTACCCAGGTGTGCTCAGGTATATCCCAGGTGTCCCCAGGTGTATCCAGGTGTGTCCAGGTGTGCCCAGGTGTATCCCAGCTGTACCCAGGTGTGCCCAGGTGTTGTCCAGGTGTGCTCAGATGTGTCCAGGTGTGCTCAGGTGTGTCCCTGTCCCCCAGGAAGATCCAGGAGGAGTCTCTCCGCACGTACCTGTTCACCTACAGCAGCGTCTACGACTCCATCAGGTGAGGGGGGGAGAAAAAAAGAGAATTTGGGTTAAAAAAATAAAATTAAAAAATGGGAATTTGGGGGTAAAAAATGGGGAATTTTGGGGGAAAAAATGTGAATTTTTGGGGTCTAAAAATGGGGAAATTTGGGGTAAAAATGTGAATTTTTGAGGGTAAAAAATGGGGATTTTTGAGGTAAAAAATGGGGAAATTTGGGGTATAAAAAGGAGAAATTTGGGGGTTAAACATAGAATTTCAAGAAATCAAATCGAATTAATTAAAATAAATTCAATCAAATCGAAATTAATGAAATTCATTAATTATTAGCATGGAGACCCTGGCGGCCATGTTTGAGCTGGAGCTGATGAAATAAAATGAGATTGAAATAAAAATAAAATTCGAATAAAATTCTAATTAAACCAAGTAAAACGAATGAAATTTAATTAAGTTCAATAAAAATTAATTAAACTCATTAATTAATTACCAGCATGGAGACCCTGGCGGCCATGTTTGAGCTGGACCTGCCCACGGTGCACGGAATCATCAGCAAAATGATCATTAACGAGGAGCTGATGGTGAGGGGCTGGATTTACCTGGGGACAGGTGTGGGCTCACCTGGGGACAGGTGTGGGGTCACCTGTGGGGCAGGTGTGGGGTCACCTGTGGGGACAGGTGTGGGG